GTTCAAGTGGATGGTCAAGCTCAAGGGGGGCTCCTTGGTGTTCTTGATGACAATGGCAGCATCACCCACTGACTGGATGATCTCATATTTGTCTTCTGTGATGGCCTGGAAGAGAAGGTGGCATCACCCTGGGGTCTTGTTGGGATGATCCCACCTCAGGCTTCTCCCACAAAACCAAGGTCTAGGAAAACTCCACCAGCAACCCAAGAGAAATTCATTAAATATGGGCTGGAGAGGAACCTCCTGAGGTTCTCCAGGGGGTTCACCCAAGGAGGAACAACCCCAGGGAGCAGCACAGGCTGGGGGGACTTGCTGGGGAGCAGCTCTGGGGACAAGGACCTGGGAGTCCTGGGGGACAACAGGGTGACCATGAGGTGAAAACAAGCCCTGGTGGCCAAGAGGGCCCATGGGCTCCTGGGGGGCATCAAGGAGAGTGTGGGCAGGAGGGCAGGGAGGTTCTCCTGCCCCTCTGGTGAGGGCCCATCTGGAGAAGTGGGTCCAGGGCTGGGCTCCCCAGAAGGACAAGGAGCTGCTGGAGAGGGGACAGCAAAGGCCACCAAGAGCTGCTGGAGGTGCCCCTGCTCTCCAGGGGTTGGCACTGGGTGATCTTTAAGGTCCCTCCTACCCAAACCATCTGTGGTTGATCCAGTGCTGAGGGGCAGAACTTGGTTGGACCTGATGATCTCCAAGGTCTTTCCCAACCCAAACGAGTCCATGGGAGCGTTGGTGGAGGCTCCATCTCTGGAGACACCCAGACCCCCTGCCCACCATCTTGTGCCACCTGCTCTGGGTGACCCTGCTCTCCAGGGGGGTGGATTGATGGTCTCCAGAGCCCCCTGCCCACCCCACCACTCTGTCACCACCACCACCTGCCTCTCAAAGTGACATTTCCCAGCCCAAGGGTGTGAAACCAAAGGTCCCTGGTGGCTTTTTCCCCATTTCAGGTCAGTTCTGCTGGTTCTGCAGAGCCCTTTACTCACAGCCAACTGCACCTCCAGGTTCTCAGCCACCTTCTGCAAGAGATCTGAGGTGGGTTTGTCCTTGCAGAGAAGAACCAGCTCCAGATCCAGGTCCCCCTTCAGCAAGAGACCTTTGGCCACGAGCCCCACACGCATCACCCCCCGTAGGGTGCGGGTCAACTGCTCCGTGGCCTTCTGATCCCTGGGGAAAAGAACATGGAGGAGGATGGAGATCCCTCCAAGGAACAGGGAGAAGATCCCCAAGGCCTGGACCAGCCCAAGGGGAGGGGGTGGTGGTGAAGATTAAACAAGGATCTCCTGCACCTAGATGGGCCAAGCGGCTTCAAGCCGAGGTTCATTCATTCCTTTCTCACTCCACAGCCACAGGAAACAACTTTTCCCACCTTGGAAAAGTGGGGTCTTGGGAATTTTGTGAGACATTGGGACAGGTTGGACAGGGAAGGTGTGGAAGCTCCATCCCTGGAAGTGTCCAAGGGCAGGTTGGATGGGGCTTGGAGGAACCTGGGCTGCTGGGAGGTGGCCCTGCTGATGGCAGGGGAGTGGGACTGGAACGGTTTGGGTTGGAATGGACTTTGGAGACCACCTGGATGATCTTTAAGGTGGCTGCTCCATCCCTGGAAGTGTCCAAGGGCAGGTTGGATGGGGCTTGGAGCAACCTGGGCTGCTGGGAGGTGTCCCTGCCCATGCAGGGGGGTTGGATCTAGATGATCTTGAAGGTCCCTCCAACCTCAACCCATCCCACCATTCCAGGCAATCAAGCAAGGAAGCACCATCACTCCACTAAGCTCGTGGAGTCTCCTCCACCAGGGAAATTCCCAACCCTCCTGGCCACGTTCCTGTGGGACGTTCTCTAGATGATCCTGCTCTACCAGGGGGGACTGGCCTAGATGATCCTTTGAGGTCCCTTCCAACCCTTCAGATCCTCTGACCACCCCCCCAGACAGGGCCGTTCTCCTCACCCTCCTTCCTTGTTCTCCTCCTCGGCCGCCGTCTCCATCGACTCCGCCTCGGGTTGTTCCCCCCCAACCTTCTCCTGCTCATCAATCCAGTCAGACACGGCCTTGAGTGCCCGTTCTGTGTGGGACACCATGTTCTGCACAGCCTCCAGCTCCTCCTGGGTGGGGTAGACAGCCGAGTGCTTGGCCATCACGTGCCGGTCGTCGTTGACGAAGATGCGCATCGGGCGCTGGAAGGAGAAAGCACTGGGGGTGAGAAAAACACCTGGAGACACCAAGGGGAGCAGGTGGAGATGTTGGGAAGACTCCAGAGGTCATGGAGATCATTCCCAGGGCTGGAGAAGCTCTGGAGACACCAAGGGGAGAAGGTGGAGATGTTGGGAAGACCCCAGAGGAGGTCATGGAGCTGATTCCCTGAGCTGCAGAAGCTCTGGAGATAGGCTGGGAGAGCTGAAATGGGGGTTCAAATGGAGAGAAGAAGGCTCCAGAGAGACCTTAGAGCACCTTCCAGTGCCTGAAGGGGCTCCAGGAAAGCTGGGGAGGGACCTGGGACAAGGGCAGGGAGGGATGGGACCAGGGGGGATGGATGAAAACTGGAAGAGGGAGCTTGAGGGAAGAAATTCTTCACCAGAAGGGTGAGGAGGCCCTGGAAGAGATTTCCCAGAGAAGTTATGGATGATGGAAGTGTCCAAGGGCAGGTTGGATGGGGTTTGGAGCAACCTGGGTTGGTGGGAGGTGGATCTAAATGGTCTTCCAAGTCCTTCCAACCCATCCTATGATTCTATAATTCACCTGGTGAGGCTGAACCTCTTGGATCTCTTTTTCTTACCATTTTTGCTTCTCACTGTCTCTCCACCCGACCAAAATGGGTTGAATTCAGACTCTTCCACCCAAGAACCCGGAGCAGCTCCGAGATTTTCCGTCACCTGAAAAGGGGACAAACCACCCAATCAGTGCCAGGAACAGGTTGATCCCACCCTGAGCCCACAGAGGGATGGACAAAAAATGGGAAGGAAGAAGAGAAACCAACTCCAACTCGTTAGGATCCACCACCCAAAAACTCATCAAGGAGCAAAGACCCCCCTGAATTGATTTTCCCTCCGACTCTTCATCCACCACCATCAATATCTTGGTTTATTCCCAAGGGGTTTTTCCCTGGATTTTTTCCCCCCAAGCTCTTGCTCCTGTTCCTGCCACCCTGGGCTGGGGAAATTAACAGGCTGTGAGGTAATTAATCCCACATGGTGAAACAACCAAACGAGGCAACAATGTCACTTCCTGCTGCTCAGGAGAAACTCTTTGGAAAAATCTCCTTTTTTTTTTTACCCCAAATTTACTCCACGGGCTCATTTAGAACCTGTTTTTAACTGGGATCCATCCCAGCCAAGACCAGAAGTTGCATCAAGTCCCTTCAACTCATCAGGAGAAAAAAAATCAGGATCCACTCAAGACCAGAAAAGCTTTGAATCCTAAAATTCCAATGGATTAAGCCAAAATCCCAACAATCCCGATGCCCTTTTGGAAGGGAATTAACCCCCCCCACCCCCAACTGGGGCAGAAAATTCCTTCTCTCACAATTCCAGCCCTTTTTCCCCCCTTCTCTTTCCATCACGGGGCCTTGGAGCAAAGTAAAATTCCTGCTCCTGATCCTTGAGATCATCTCCAGAGCTTCCAAATCCACCAGGATCGACCCGTCAGCATCAAGGTGGTTTCCCATGGGATCAGTGGGAGAAGCAGAAGCTCCTCCAGGAATTGGGGCCAAATCTTGGGAAAAGTCCTGATTTGCCTCCACCAAACACCTGAGAGGCTCCAAGAACGGTTCAAAAATGTTGGGAAGGAGGAGGAAGAACCTCAGAGCCTGAGGATGATGGGGATGAAGCAGCTTTGCTGATCCTGCACCCACCAGAACCACTGGAGAAAGTCCAGGCCTCAAGAATTCCACCTTTCACCACCAAATCCCACTTTCTCCAGGAATCCTTCCATCCTCAGGGAGTTCCAGCTGGAATTCAACACCCTTGGAGCTTCTCCTGGCCTTTGTTTCCCACCAGAATCCTCCCTGAGCTGACTCAGTTCCCTGCCTCCCAGAGCTCCAGGTGACACTGGAACATCTTGGGTACAAACCTTCCAAGATACTGGAATGATTCTAAAATCCCCAACAATTCCCTGGGTGCTCAGTACTTCCCATGGGAAGCAGAAATCAGGACCCTGCTGGGGTCACAAACCCAACTCTGGGGCTCAGGACCTGGAGAATTTTCCAGGATAAACCCAATTCCTGGGAACTGAGGTGCCCAAACCTGGAATCCTGGGTCCCAGAAACTCCCTCAAACCCCAATCCTGAAAAAACTCTTCCCAAGGAGCATCTTCCCAAGGAACATCTTCCATGGAACCTCTTCCCAGGGAGATGAGCATTGAGACCACCCCAAAAAACGGGGGGGGAAGGGGGGGGGTTTCCTCTCCCACCCACCCTAAAAAAGCCCTTGGGGGGTGTTGCTTTTTGTGGGTCAGGACCCCAGACCCCCCCCACGACCCATCCCCATATATATGGGGGGGAAACAAGGGCCACGGGGGGG